TAGGTCAGTGCCACGATTGGTTGTTCGTAACTCTACTGAGGGTAAAATTTAAAGTACAGAAACGACGACCTTGTGTAAACGTAATTAAGGTCGATAATTTTCCAACGATTTGTGTTATTTATGCATGATAAGCTTACTGCTATTTGCATGACTATCGTAATCAGCTAGGTACAGTGATTAAGAACTAAAGTGCTTTGTGTTTTTTTTTTCTTTCTGGAATTGTATTGAACAAATATAGAAAAACTAGTATGTGTTTCCTGCCCGATAGAAGAAAGAAAAATGCAAACTGGTTATGGAAACCGGATATATTGACGTGAACTGTAACACATGCAAATCGTTGCCGTTGACTTTATATATATATATTGTACAATAAGCACATGCTGATTATTTTGTGTGTCAGTCTACATTTAAAGCTGTACAACCTCTACGTGCCATAAGAAGAGAGAATGAGAAAACAAAAAATAAAAGCAGTACTAGTAAGAATCAACATTCATAAATTTTTTGGCCTTTTAGAACATGTGAACAAAAAATATAGTGGGTACAAAATAACGGTTTTAAGACAAAACTAAGAGGAAAACAACGCAATTTAGATTTTTGTTCCTTTGGCTCTATCCCTTACCTTGATAATATCACAATCAGAGTCCGTCCTATCCCCTATAATTTTTGATATTTTTTGAAATATAGTTTTCCTTACATAAGTATGTTTTAAAACATTCCTGTCTGTTTAAAAAGGATATCTAATACGCTATGAATTATACAGTATTAATATTTTAATTTTATACTTTCAATGTACATTGCTTAAACTGGGTGTTACCAGATTCATCGCCAGATGGAGCCACGGTATCGTTTAAAATATTTTTGTGGTTGGTTAACAAACACAAACAAAATAGCTCAGCGTATCAGTCTAACAGTTAAATTCCTTAAATGGTTTATTTTTGTTGGCGTTTAGTCTTGTTCCGTGAATATATAGATGTAATTCTATATTGAAATAACGAGGACTTTGGATAGTAATTTTTAATAACTAATAACAGTCCTTAATTTTTTTTAAAGACTTGATAATCTTTTCGTCGCTTACTACATTTTGATGCTCGATTGACAGCTCTTATATATATATATATATGTATGTTAAAAAATGCTTGTTTTTTTTGCCTACAAACAAGAAGTTATGAAACATTGAGCAAAGGATCTTGGCACCAACTTACGTTTGGGTTTCTTCATTAATTTTTTTTTTCCAAATTGAGACTCATTAAAACTAGAAAAAGGAGGCCAGTTAAATTATCATGAATATATATAATGGAGACTTTTTTTTGTTAACTTGCCTGGTGTGAACTATTGGAAAAATGGTTTATATATTATCTACGATTATCTTTTTACCTTTGGATTATAGGGACAATGCCGTATATTTGAAAGCGCAAAATTTTGTGTAAGCCAAAATTAAAACTGTAACCTTCTGATAACTTTCATGATATAAAACCTTTTTGAAACGTTTATATCCATCGCGAACTGTAAAGATTGATAAATGGCCTAAAATGATAATTAAACTCACGTTTTGTATACATGTTGTTTGCTGTTAACGAGAGTATCTAATTATGTAAGTGAGACGATTATGGATAGTTTCTTGGTCTTTCTCTCCATCTACCTTTAAGTTTAAGTAAACATATCCAATTCAGTATGTTTTATATACGAGAAAATCGACATCGTATTTTAGGTCATGGCAACCGTTTCATTCGACTGTTTCTTTTGGATGTGGATGTCTTGAAACATATGTCTTTCGTTGGACTGACAATTACGTCACAGATAATTTGGTCAGATAAGCATATATGTGTGTGGAATCTGAAGCTGTTTGCACGTGTTTTCTTTTAATGGGCTTTAAAATAAGCATATAGGGTTTGATATAACAGAAGAGCATAAGTGTCTGGCGCTAATAAAAAGGATGCATGATGTTTGGCCGATCATCAGTTAAAAAAAAACAACAGAAAATTATTGTAATTAATCTCACTGATTACTGCACAGGAAATGGGTTATTTCACACACATATTTTTTGCCCCTTTTTTTGTTAACACTAATTGTTTATACTGTATAAGTATTATTATCTTTGAAACTCCTAACTGCTACTACCCCCCCCTTCCAGTTTCATTCATTCCTCACTGTGGGATATCTTTAAGTTTAAATAAATATGTCTCGTGTGTAGAAGAGTTGACAATATTATTCGTTAATATTTCACTCGTGTAATAAATGTATATTAATTCTGAAAGTTGAAGTCGATATGGGGTTGTGGTCTGTTGCCTGTGATTTTGTTTGTTTAGTATTATTTAAAAAAAGAGTAGAATACGTGCAGTTACGTGGTATTCATACCTCAATAACTTACTGTACAATTTTTGAGAGAATAATAACTTCCGAAAGCGAATCCCCCTCCTCCTCCACCCTACGACCATAGGGCCCATCCCTGGATTCCCCAAAGTTGTGTAATCTCATCTCGATTTTCATGTTTTTCGAGTAGTGATTTTGTTTGTTTAATATTTGGAATAATAAAATACGTGCAGTCACGTGGTACTTTTCTTTAAGATGTTGAGAGAATAATAACTTCCGAAAGCGAATCCCCCTCCTCCTCCACCCTACGACCATAGGGCCCATCCCCTGGATTCCCCAAAGTTGTGTAATCTCATCTCGATTTTCATGTTTTTCGAGTAGTGATTTTGTTTGTTTAATATTTGGAATAATAAAATACGTGCAGTCACGTGGTACTTTTCTTTAAGATGTTGAGAGAATAATAACTTCCACAAGCAAATCGTCACCTCCCTCCCACGACAATAAGCTCCCCCCCCACCTGATTACCCCAAGTTAAGTGTAATCATCTCAATTTCCGTGTTTTTCGAGTAATTTTGGTTCGCTTCATATCATTGTATGCTGAAATATGCATTTTTGTTATTGCATTCTTTTCATTTTCTTCATTTTCCGTCAGCGCCTCGACTTTCTGGCAGACGAAACCGGAGCACGATTATGAAAATATATAAAAATTGATGTACACTTGGTAAGCTTAATGTAGAGTGATCAGAGTGTTTACATATCACTGATGATGAGGAATATTGAAAATAACTGGAGAAAAAGAAGTGGTAGACTGGTCAGAATACAAGAAGTATTCCTTAAACATCACTATTGATTTTCTATTCTTGTTACTGGTGACTATATCGTAAGGAGGTGTGTGCTAAGTTTTAGAATGTATAATTGCCTTTGTTAGTACTGTTCATAATACTGACTTTTGAAATATAAAAGGCGGCAAGCTTCTGATGGTAACCCTTTCTGGGATCTGCTGGGGCCCCCCGATTTCCATCCTTATATGCTGCCGCCACCCTTCCGATAAGTTTTAATGGTCTGGTATATTAGATTTTCAGTGACTTAGTTCTACTTTACGAGTAAACGCACGAAAAAACACGTTTTCTTTGAATTTGTTTGTTGATATCAAATACTTGCATAACTTGTTTTTTAACAACTTTATGAATGCAAAAAAAATATTAAGTGAAAATGCTTTGAATACCAAATTTTTGGGTTGGTTATGATGTTTTGTGTGGATATTTTCTTACTTAAAGGAATAGTGCATTATCCACCATGTTATATAACCTCTATTGTGTAGTGTTTTAAGGTTATGTATATTTTTAAATGGAGACATTGTGTATTCTGTCTTTTCATACAGAATTCATTGTCATAGGGTATTCATCATAAGAGTGATTCTACTACTTTGAGACAATGATGTGCTGTTTATCAAGAACACAATGCTACTAATTAGAACTCTGGATAATTTTATAACGTGGAACCTATTGGAAGTGGGAAGACTTGGTGTATTGGTTATAGTGCAGGATGACTGCGGATCAGAAGATCCAAGGTTCGTTTCTGTGAGGACATTGATGCACACTGCACTTTCAGCTACAGGCATGTTATATAAATGACAGTCAATCCCATTATTTGATTCAAAGCCAGACATAGCCCATGTGATGACATATGCTGTTGAGTGGCTGCCTTCATTCTGGTCAGTAGTTCAAAATTAGGGATGGCTACATATGAACTGTGGAATGTATGATATGATTGTTTAGCTGATGTGTTGCATACGGTGCCATAAAGGTTGAATGTGTATTTACTGCTGAGATTTAGAGATTGGATTCCATGATGTTGTTGTTTGTTTGTTTGTTTTGTTGTTTTTTTGAGTCCCAACCATAAAGGTTGAATGTGTATTTACTGCTGAGATTTAGAGATTGGATTCCATGATGTTGTTTGTTTGTTTGTTTGTTTTGTTTTGAGTCCCAAGACTGCTTACAACTGTTGAGGCAACTTAGATGCTGGTTCTTGGGCAAACTTACTTGGTGCCACCTATCTCCTCTCCAGGGAGTTAACCCTAATTTAGTGGGGAAAGACTAGAGTGAAGGCAGATAGTTAACACCACCACCCACTGCCAAATGTTGGGCTACTCTTTTATCAATGAATAGTGGAATTCCATGTAATAGCAAATATATTTAAGATGGGAAGACCTTATAGTTAACTGTCAAATTTAGATCAAGAAATCGAGGAAACAAACCTGTATATTTGTTTGTGTACATATTTTTTATCGTAAAATACAATGAATATGCACAGAAACTTGAAGCAATGCTGTTTTTATTTTTCAATGAACTGAAACTCATCCCAGAAAAATGTTTTGTTGTAAATATGTCGTATGTTAAATGGGGAATGGTACTGATTATAAAGTGATTTAAGTAGCATGGAAAACGATACCATATTTAGTAATTTGAATAGATTCAATGTAAAAAATAAGTTATCATTATTTATATATACAGTCTTAGCAGCATAAAATATTTAAAAACAAGTTATGTGATTGTGTACTCTGACATGGTGCAAAATATAACTAACCCTATTTCACGCTATTCAAAAGACTAAAATCTGTGAAAGTTTCTATAACATGTTTTCTTGTAGTTTGTTACCTTTATTGATAAGATTTTTTTTCTCTCTCCAAGTCACCAGATGCCTGGGTAACTATTCACAATCTCAAACTGTCAAGTGATGGTGGCATACTTGACCCTGATGACAAGTTGAATGATGTAGCAGATGACAGAGAACAGGTAAGTCTTTAAAATGTGTTGTATATATAATTTTATAATAATGTTATGATGCACTGAATAAATCAAAATATATTGTTCTAGAAAGTACAGAAAAAGTCATTGATGTAAAAATTTAATTTAGTTACTTGGAGTTTAGCCCAAAATGATTTACAAGGGTATATTGCCATGAAGTGTGAAAACTAAGTGATTATGAGTAACATTTTTTCTAATGACTAATATTACACGATGCTCTAATTTCATTTTATTAACAGATTTTTTTCTTAAACCAAAAATCTATTCTAAAGCCTAAATCGTAGATGAAAGATTAAATTAATAAATTACGGAACATTGGTGTAACATAAAAGTACAACACAGTATTGAATTTGTGGCATTCCTACCACTGTGGTCAGAAACATAAACCAGATTGACATCGTATACAATTTTACATACTCAAGTATTCAAAATAAAGTTGTTGTGATGAAGGAAGAAACACACAAAAATTACAAGAGCCAAAACTAATGTTTCTGGGGTGGGGTATAAGTTTTCAGAGGTAAATCCAAACTCAAGAATCAGTTGTGCTAGAACACAAGTGTTTTTTTTATTAAGCATGATTTTTTTCACCAAAAGTAAACAAGCTAACTCAGAGTTACCATCTCAAAATTAAACCATGATATAATTCATTCTATAACCTTGATAAATCTAAAATAAATCAAGCAAATCATTGCTGTGAAATTGCCAAAACAAAAATAAAATACAATATATCCATATGAGATAGCAAAATCTCAAATTAGCCTAACATAAAAATTATACATTTTGTTGAATCATTGAATCTAATTGTAATTTAAGAACATTTTCTTCCATAGATTGTGTTGTGTTTTGAAGTAAAATTTATGTGGTCAAACATATACTTGATAATAAGAAAGAAGAAATATAGATTTAGGAAATTATCAGAATTACTTGCATTTTTGTATCTAATACTAAGAAATTATATGAAATTGGATATTGATTACTTTCTGCTCTTTCTTAGATTTTTCTTGAATTCAAACACCCAAATCAAACTGCTGAATGAGTTAGGTAAAAGTGGGTTACTTGCCTTCTTCAGAGCTGTCACATGATGTTATTTGGATAGTTTAGCAAAAAGTTAAGAATAGGTAACTTTAGGTAGTCAATAATTGTTGACACATTCTTTTCACTGACTCTACTCCATGTTGGCTAGTTTAGCAAAAAGTTAGGGTTAAAATCTTTAGGTAGCTAATAATTGTTCACACATTCTTTTCACTGACTAACAAGCATGCCAATGACAAGTGAATGTTAGGGTAGTTATCTTTGTGTTTATTCAGTCTGATGAAATGGTATTGTGAATCTGTGATATTTTTCAAAACACTATACACTTCAAACTGTGGTATCTTAATGAATGTTTCATAAACAGTGATTTTAAGATGTTGAGATAATGCAAGAAAACCCAATACATCTCCTCTTTCAGTTGTTTTTCAACATCTATGTTTAAAATTAGTAATTAGTTTCAAGGTTGTGTAGCAAAAATTGCAACATACTCAAATCAACAGTGTGATTTTTATACCAGATTGTACAAATCTAAAGGTAGTCTGAAATGTTATTATAATAAAAAGAATTAGTGTAAACATTTTCCAATTCAAGATATTTGAAACATATTCTTTTGTTTGCTCTTTGGATAACTGACTGTTTGATTTTGGCTTCCAGTGAAAGGTTTCTTGGATATACAATTATGGTGGATAAGTACTAATCTATGATATATTTTTTTTACAAATCTCATAATCCAACTGAGAAATGAAAATTGTAAAAATAAACGCAGCTGTGGTTAAGCTAAATATTTAACTTTGTACAGTTGATTAATGTAACAAAGTATTGTTCTTTACTGCACTCATTACAATTGTAAACAGTTAAAAGTAGAGATGCATGGGTACTCGGCTGGGTATTGGGCTACCCAGTAATACTCGGCTCCGGCCAAGTGCTAAAGTTAGGCATCTAAGCCCTAATCTTTGTGGCAACTAATGAGGTACTGAAAGTTACAATCAATAATTGGTTTAGTTAAAAAAAAAAATGTGTTCCGAGCTACAACAACTGACTGCCCACTGAAAGTCGGGGATTCATAGAACAATAGGGGTTAATAACAGGCATGGCTTGAGAAGGGGATTTCTGGAGAAGGTGGTGGTTTTGAGAACAATAGGGGTTAGAGTTTGAAAAGTTGGGGCTAGGCATTGAAAGTAAAACTTGAATGTTCTGTTGGTGATTATTTGGTTAAGTGTAATAAATGTCAATATTATTTTTGTTTCTGATTTTTGTGTGTGTTTTTTTTTGTGGGGTGGGGGCAAGGGTAGAACCTAGTCACGGTTGACACCTGACCCTGGCCAAAGCTTAGTGATTGGGTGCTCTAACCCGGTATTCGGCCAAATTTTACTACCCATGCATCCCTAGTTAAGAGGATTCCAAACTAATAATTGATTTCTAACTAAAGAAACTACTGAATTCAAAATTTCAAAGAATTATATTGTTCTTGGTATTTTTCACATTGTCTGCAAAAGGATAGTTTATCTGACAGAGTTCTACAGAAATGTCAGTAAGAACAGTGTGAATGATTAAATTTTGTTAAATTAAAATATACCCCTTAACCTGTATTTTTGTCTTGATTAAAGTTTATTATGACATGACACACAGTATGCCCCTAAACCTGTATTCTTGCCTTGATTAAATTTTGTTATTATGACATGACACAAAATATGCCCCTAAACCTGTATTCTTGCCTTGATGAAATTTTGTTATTATGACATGACATAAAATATGCTTCTGAACCTGTATTTTTGTCTTGATTAAAATTTTGTTATTATGACATGACACAAAATATGCCCCTAAACCTGTATTCTTGTCTTGATTAAATTTTGTTATTATGACATGATACAAAATATGCTCCTAAACCTGTATTCTTCTTGATTAAATTTTGTTATTATGACATGACACAAAATATGCTTCTAAACCTGTATTCTTGTCTTGATTAAATTTTGTTATTATGACATGACATAAAATATGCTTCTAAACCCGTATTCTTGTCTCGATCACTTCACAGAGATAGGAAGCAACATTTACAAATAAAATGTTATTTTTATGTTGACATATTTACTGTGTCTGAGTTAGGTCATAAAAACCTTTCCTGTATGAAAGAGGTCAAGAAAAGAAATTGAATATATTATTAACAAAAATGGAAGAATTATAGGGTGATGCTTTCTATGCTAAATCTCGGGGGCCATCAGATTAATGATCTGTTTACTACAGCTAGCTTTACCTTATTCAAAAACAGATAGTTCAAGTTATTTCACACATAACATGGTGTTATTATGTGCGTGTGGATTGTGGTTTCTAATAATATGATAATTTTATTTCAAATTTAACCTTTGTTTACCATAATAACATGTATACTGCCATTAAAATTTGAACAAGATATTAAAGACTTGATAAGTCTGAAATAATGGTAAAATGTTCACTCTGTGTATGAAGGAATCAGAATGTTGTTTATAATATAAAATAGCTGTTGTGGAACTAATGTTTTATTTTTTATAAGTTATTTAATAGCGTATAGGTAGCTTTTAAGTATACAAGAAGTGATTCTGACTAAAGGTGTGGCTATATAGCGATACAGTACAGGTATTGTATAGTGAAGCCATGATATGATTGTATTGATACATTGTCCGATATGATACGATTTATGTATCTTCATGAAATTTGGCAAGCTTTCAGTAAACATTATAAGTCTTTTGTAAAGAAAAAATCAGAATTTCTAATAAAGTATTTTTGCTAAAAATGAATAATTCAATAAAGGAAGATGAGTATTGAGTACTACATGTTGTATTAATTTCTTTTATCAAAAACATTACATCTAAAATAACATAAATTAACAATAACAAAATAGATAAATATTAACTTTTTTTATTTTACTTCTCTTGCCAGCTGCCATTTAGTTGATCAAACCTGAGAATATGAAAAAAGCACTATAAAGTGTGAAATACTTAAATAAGACAATATTAGTAATATAGATAATATATTACAGACAAGACTGTCAAACTTTGTAACAAACCATTGGTAAAACTTCTGTATCTGGATAGGTATGGTATGGACTACTATGATGAGATACACCTCTAATTCTGACACTGTTGGTGTTTGTTGATTAGCTTTGTATATTTTTAGTATTACTATCTAGTGTGGGCTTTATTCAGTTCTGTTATAAACCACATCTCAGAATCTCTGTAGGTGAAATAACTTTCCTACAGATAGTGACATTGTGGTGCTGTTCTTTAATGTAAAGATAAACTAAACGATGATAGTATACTTGTTGGGTTTTTTATCAGTTTTAATAACTAAACAGCTCTTTGCTAATAAAATGTTTATTATTCAATGATATGAGCTGTACTAAGTTTTTTTTTTTTTAGTTTTGTTTGTTTTGGACTTTCACATAGTTCACTTGGTTTAGGGAAGTTTTGGTGATTTCTAGATGTTTAGGAAATACAACAAGGGCAACATTTTTGACAAAACAATATCTTGGCTTAATGTCTAACTACTTTTTCAACCTGCATGAGAATTGGTCATTTTTAACAGCTTTATGCTGTACTTCATGTATACATATTGTTGCGTCAGCGAGGTCACGTGATTAGTATTACGCCACGTCCTTCTCGAACCTTCGTGAATTGTCGGGAGATTACTAGATATAGTGTAGTCTTGTATATATAAGACCGGCCACAAAGCGACGGGAGGTAATGAGTAATTGAATGTATGCGGACAAAATATTGTTGGCCACGTGAGACGTGAGTTATAGCATTTGATTATAGAGCGACTGTTGAAATTAAGTGTATCGGTAAAGTTGTATTCGGAAAGAATAAACCAGTTTATTTAAGAAAGGTACTTGTGTCGCTAAAGGTTTCGTTGGAACGGATTTAC